GACCAAGTGAGCAAACAATTAATGCAATTGTGACCAAGTTTCGCACTCAGTTTACTTTATTGGACATTAAACCAACCACACGAATGCGTACAGTGCGTACAGAAGAGAGTATTGCGTCTGTTTCTGAGAGTGTTGCTGAAGACCGTGAAATGTCGATTCATCGCCGTTCGCAGCAATTGGGTTTGTGTTATTCGACCACATGGAAGATTTTACGCAAAGATCTTGGTGTAAAACCGTATAAAATACAGCTCGTGCAAGAACTGAAGCCGAACGATCTGCCACAACGTCGAATTTTCAGTGAATGGGCCCTAGAAAAGTTGGCAGAAAATCCGCTTTTTATCGACAAATTTTGTTCAGCGATGAGGCTCATTTCTGGTTGAATGGCTACGTAAATAAGCAAAATTGCCGCATTTGGAGTGAAGAGCAACCAGAAGCCGTTCAAGAACTGCCCATGCATCCCGAAAAATGCACTGTTTGGTGTGGTTTGTACGCTGGTGGAATCATTGGACCGTATTTTTTCAAAGATGCTGTTGGACGCAACGTTACGGTGAATGGCGATCGCTATCGTTCGATGCTAACAAACTTTTTGTTGCCAAAAATGGAAGAACTGAACTTGGTTGACACGTGGTTTCAACAAGATGGCGCTACATGCCACACAGCTCGCGATTCTATGGCCATTTTGAGGGAAATCTTCGAAGAACAATTCATCTTAAGAAATGGACCGGTAAGTTGGCCACCAAGATCATGCGATTTGACGCCTTTAGACTATTTTTTGTGGGGCTACGTCAAGTCTAAAGTCTACAGAAATAAGCCAGCAACTATTCCAGCTTTGGAAGACAACATTTCCGAAGAAATTCGGGCTATTCCGGCCGAAATGCTCGAAAAAGTTGCCCAAAATTGGACTTTCCGAATGGACCACCTAAGACGCAGCCGCGGTCAACATTTAAATGAAATTATCTTCAAAAAGTAAATGTCATGGACCAATCTAACGTTTCAAATAAAGAACCGATGAGATTTTGCAAATTTTATGCGTTTTTTTTTTAAAAAAGTTATCAAGCTCTTAACAAATCACTCTTTACAATAAAATAAAAATATAATAAAATAAATTTATAATAAAGCAAAAATAAAGGCAAAATTTGTTATATTAACAATTCACTTGGCCCAAGAAAAATAAGAAAAAATATCAAAAAATAGTGAGATCAACAACACTAGCATACCTTAAATATCTAAGCAAACAACTATTATTTTGGTATTTTCACGAGATTGTTTGTAGTTTCTTCGCGAAGATATACTGGGGGAGGTTTTTGGGATCTAACCGGTTATGTTATTTCATCAGCCTCGTTATTCGAGCCGAGAATTGAGAATCTGTTATTTATAGACTTGTGGGTTTTAGCGTTTGGTTCCTTGGTTGGAGTTCTAGAACTAGCCTTTCGCTTTGTTACTAAAACATATCGGTCCATGCCTGGAGGAACTTTGTTTTCCTTGTTGTTTTTTTTTTTGAAGAGACGCATGCTTACTTGAAGCGATAGAGTCTTGATGTGCAATCTCATCGTGTGATAGCACGTTTATAGACTTTATTTTGGGCGTGTTTATATTATTTTGCCAATTTAGAACGGATTGGGGTTTAGTTGTAAGATACCAGATTTCGAGGCGTTTTGGCGCGGTTGAGCTGAAATCTGTCGACGTCAACTTAAGGTATACGTTTTGCACGTTCTCACTTACATTTCTCTCTTCCGTAGAGGAGAGGTACATGCCCTTGTTGTTGTTAACACTATAACAAACCGATTTATATACCTGTTAATTAAAGAAGAAAAACTATTTTGCAAAAATTCTTAATAAAAAAGGAATTTTTAGCATGATTTTTTATTGTACTTCCTGATTTTGTTTTAATAGCTTCCAGTTTGCTTTTATATTATTTATTTTGTTTTACTTAGCAACTCAATAGCTTCCTCTTATACTGGGGAGGATTAAGCCTCGAGAGTCTTTGCTATTGGCGACAAATGCGAAATTGCCTGTATGATTCGTCTTTGCTGGCTTCATAACGGGAACACTCTGCCCAGTGTTCAGGTTTCGGGAACTATGTGGGTGGCTAACGACAGGTTAAGGACTTTGGTTAAATTGATATTCCGTCCGTGCCCGAGACTTTGGATGACTTAGCGTTTTGGATGACATTCGCAACATCACCGGATAGATCCGAAACAACAACACTCCAGTTTCGGCCAGCGGCTGCCAACCCACGTATACATGTCGTGTTTATACATACATGGGATTTACGACTGAGAAGAACGTGGAGCTGTTGAGTTGTTGCGGTGAATATTTGTTTTGGTGCCTATTATTGAGATACACTGCAACCAACTTCAGAGTGCTATCATTCCTAAGCCACTCGTCCGACAGCTGTTAAAATTATTCCAGTGACAGCTCATTATATTGTTTGTTTTTTCGTACAAAAGCATGTTGGTGAGAGTTTTCCAGAATAAAAGTTATTCGTGATGGAATTCAAGCGTGATAGTGTGATTTTTTTATATTTGGCTGGAAAACCACAAGTAGCCATCGTTAGAGCACTCCAGCAATAAAATTCGAATAAACCTCTTGTGTCCCGTGCCATCGCTCGTTACCGTGATACTTGTAGCGTAGCCCGACGTCAAGGAAGTGGACGGAAGAAAACAGCAACATTAGCAGAAATGGTTCGAAAAGTCAGGAAGCTACTTGATCGAAACCTGCGTCGCAGTAGCTGAAAAATGGCTCGTGAGCTGAACATATCGCAATATTCCATTCGGCAAATATTGAAAAATGAGCTCGAGGTAAAGCCATTGAAATTCCAAAAAGTGCAAGACCTTACACCGCAACAGAAAAAAAAGTGGTGAACTGCCGAACTGGTCGAAAGTGGTGAGCTGCCGAATTTAGTTTTCTCCGATGAGAAAACATTCGTCGTCCAGCAGTTTGTAAATAAACAAAATGATCGTGTTAACTTGCCAAAGAGGTCAGCTGAAAATGTGCACCTCCGGTTGGCCACCAGAATTCAAGCGCCTGCCATGGTGATGTGGCATCAGAATAAATGTTGAATATTATCGCGACAATATTCTGGAGGTTGTATTAAAGCCTTGGGCACGCAAACATTTTGGCCGCAAAAATTGGATATTCCAACAGGACTCAGCATCATCGCACTCAGCACGCGCCACCCAAGAATGGTTACAAAATGAGATTCCTCGCTTCATTTTCAGCGCACAATGGCCACCAAAATGTCCGGATACCAATCCGTTGGACTATTGTGTCTGGAGTATTATGGAAAGCAAGGTTGGCACTAAATAATACCAAAGTGTCCATCACCTTAAGCAAGCGCTTCTCCGGGAATGGGCCAAAATACCGCAGAGCAACATTCAGGCAGCGTGTGACGGTATCCTTAGCCGTTTGAAGGCCATAATTCGTACCAAAGCTGACCAATTCGAACAAATCTAAACACACACACACACACGTGGGAAGTCTTGTCCATCCTCTTTGTTAGGAAGAATGGATCCCATTCTTTCGGCTTTACTCCCAGACAATCCAGTGCCAATAACGATTCTTGAATACTGTCATGAAAGTTCTTTATTGATCTGCTATTGCCAGACATGTTTGGCAGGTTTAATATCCTCTCAAGTATAGTTGACACTTGAGCTCTCCTGTTGTTTTTTCTGTCTTGGAGTGTTATCTATGCAATGTCGTAATTCACCCAGTATTGCCACCAAGGAAACAGCTTATTACACACGGAGGGTTAAAATATTACACATTTGGCTTGCATAGACAATTTTGTCACAGACTGTAGTTCCATACTATGGAGGGTATATTAACTTTTTCATTCCGTTTGTAACTCCTAAAAATACTCATGTCAGACCCAACAAACATCAACATCACGCTATCTTTCGAACGAATTAAGATAGAAGGCTAAAATTTTGCACACGTGTTTATTTTTCCAGTAGGCAGGTTAAGTTCGTAAATGGGCCATGTAGGTCCACGTTTTCATATAGCCATATATAAGTACCTCCCGATATTCGGTATTTTGATGATTTTAGCGACATTATTTATCGGAATTGTTTCAAATTTGGTATTTGAAGTTCGAAATGGATACTACAGCCTTAGACAGAAAATTGTCTGTGCAGGTCCACGTCTTCGTATAGCCCCCATCCAACGATACCTACCGATATTCGGTATTTTGATGATTTTGGCGACATTATTCATCGCAATTGTTTCAAATTTGGTATTTGAAGTTCGAAATGAATACTACAGCCTAAGACAGAAAATTGTCTGTGCAGGTCCACGTCTTCGTATAGCCCCTATATAACGGTACCTCCCTATATTCGGTATTTTGATGATTTTAGCGACATTATTCACCAGAATTGTTTCAAATTTAGTATTTCAGATTCATAATGGATACTACAGCCTATGACAATTGTCTGTGCAGGTCCACGTCTTCGTATAGCCGCCATATAACGGTACCTCCCAAAATTCGATATTTTGATGATTTTAGCGTCATTATTTAACGCAATTGTTTCAAATTACGTATTTAGAGTTCGTAATGGAAACTACATAAAATTGTCTATGCAGGTATAGGTCTTCGTATAGGCCCCATATATCATTACCTCCCTATATTAGGTAGGTACAATACCCACCGAAATTTTTTGAGATGTCGTATTTGACGATCGTAATGGATGCTATAGCTTGTGACAGAAAATTGTTTCGAATTTGAATATGGTAATCGCTTATGACAAACAAGGCCTATGTAGGCCCACGTCGCATAGACCCCAATATAACGGCTATGTTCGGTTTTTAAGGATTTTATTTCCAAATTCGTTCCAAATAGTGGAGGGTATTCAAAGTTCGGCCCGGCCGAACTTACTGCTTTTTAACTTGTTAACTATAATTTGATATTTTTTTTTTTAAATTAAACAGATCATATCCTTTTTTTATTTGAAGCTTAAACGACGAATAGTATAAACTTTCCTAAAATTATAACTAGAAACATATTGTTTTCTTTTTTTTCAATTTCTTTTTAAATAAATTTGGCTTTAAATTGTAAAAAAAATGAATATCTCAGAATTTTTTTTTTAGAAGAAAAAATTATTTTAACTTTTACAAAGTTAAAAGTTTCTATGACATACATATGTTTAAAATACAGGAATTTACGAAAACTATCCTTAAATTCTTTAAAACGTCAACCAAAATCCCCCACATAAAATTAGAAAATGAGTTTGACGTGCCAACACCACCTTACGCACACTAGGTGTTATTGGAGGCCGCCTGTTGTGATTGCACCGCCGATTCTTGACTAAAATATGGAGCTATATGCGGTTTCAGCAACGTATGGCAAATGTCACAGACACGGGCCGGCCGCTTACGTGGCCCGGATTGCACCGTTTTGGTTATACTCTTATCACAGTAGATATGGCCACAATGACGACAATGGATTTTGCGAACGGGCACAGTAAAATAACTTTTGCATGCCGGACAATTGGAGACATCATCGTCGTCTTGCCAGCGAACCTCCGAGTCGGAATGTCGCAACTGTTCCAAGTTCATCTGCATCTTGGAGATTTTTGATTTTTGTCTTGGCATCGGCCAGAGATTTGGTTAATTTTTCATTCTGATCATTTAATTCAATTATCCCCACTCTAAACGCTCTAAACGCCTCTCACTGTTGCTCGCCTCCAATTAATCACGTAATATTTGTATTTCATCCAGGGACGTTACACAACGTTTCTTCTCATAATCACAACCCAAGCGAGCCTGTATCAAATCTTGTTGCTGTCTTAGATTTATTTCCAGTAACTCTTCAACGTTGTTTGGTAAATTAATGTATTGACTTTCAATCTCCTCGGCCGTGGCTAAATAACGGCCAGAGAGGAAATCATTATCGGCCTGTAACAATTCCAAATGTTTATTGACTTTTTCCCGTTCTTCGCCGAGGCGCCTCATCTGTTGCCGTGTCACCAGCCGAAGGATTGTGAGGGTCACCACTTTTACCTATCCGTGCTATGGTCTTTTTCACTTGGTGCAGGACTTGGGGTGCCAAGCTACTAAGTTCCTGAGACGTTGACGTTGAGGCTGAATGCAAACTTTCTTGTAATTGTCGATTTTCCTGTAGAATATGTTGATTCTCCTGTTTCAGAAGTTCCAATTCTGATTTGCAGATGGCAGATTCCTCGACGGTTTCTTGCACCAATTGTTGCAGAGAAGATATCTCCTCTTGGGCCTTAATTTCCATCACCGTCAACTTCGATTTCAGTGCATTCAGCTCTTGTTCCTTTTGCACAAACAACTCCTTCAGTTTGGCCCGTTGGGCATTGAAATTATTTAACATCTTGCGATTCTCCTCCTGCAGTTCCAATAGTTGGGTTCTCGGCACCATGTCTGATGTACCGCTGTCAGTTGGTTGTGTAATCGCCGCTTGGGATGATCCTTGACCTTGCAGCTCACCGGTTGCAGTATTTTTATTTATTTTCGGTTCATTTTCTTCCATTTTATTGGATTTAATGCAAAAAAAAGAAACTATCTGAGCGGGAAAAATTGGAAAATGACATGAGCAGGAAAAATTGGAAAATATAAAATGAATTTACGCCTATTTTTGAGCTATATAGTAATTTGTGTTGAAAAAGTAACTTTTATCAAAAAAAAATTTTGATACAGGTGTATTTTTTCCCCAAATGTGTAATATTTTAACCCTCCGTGGGTAATATGCAGTTTCCTTGGTGGCAACATTGCATAGAGAACACTCCAAGACAGATAAAACAACAGGAGAACTCAAGTGTCAACTATACTTGAGAGGATATTAAACCTGCCAAACATGTCTGGCAATAGCAGATCAATAAAGAACTTTCATGGCAGTATTCAAGAATCGTTATTGACACTGGATTGTCTGGGAGTAAAGCCGAAAGAATGGGATCCATTCTTCCTAACAAAGAGGATGGACAAGACTATTCACGTGTTGCGCTTCAGACTACCGAGATTTGTGTTCATTTGTGAGAAGATGTATAGACAAGTACTAGTCGACGCAAATATCGGCTAATCGTATGGAGGAACACGCCAGGCAAGGAACTCCAACATTATATGTTGAATACGTTAGCGAATGGTACGACGTGCGCCCCAATCTTGCTACAAGATGTCTGAAAAGGCTAGCAGATATGAACATACAAAAATATCCATTGGGGGTTTAGTTCTTCTAAAGAATTTTTATGTTGACGAATGCATGTGCGGGTCTGACAGTTTAATAACGGCAATTGAGATGCAGAAACAGCTTAATACATTACTACTGGAAGCAGGATCTAGACTACGAAAACGTGAACCTGCTGCTTGGAGTTCCTACAAAAGATAGAGAAGTAGATCTCAATTTTGAGAAGTCATCAACCAAGGTTTTGGGAATAACATGAATTCCCCAAGCAGACCAATTTTTTTTTTTTTGAAGAGTAATGTGAATGAATGTACCACCGTCACCAAGCGGAAGATAACATCTGATTTGGCAAGATTTTTTGACCCATTAGAAAGTGTAAGTCCTGTGGTGTCAGCAGCGAAAAGCTGTATTCAGCAGCCGCGAAAGAATACACTTGGCTGGGACGAGGAACTGCCAGCAGAAACAGCAGCATATTGGTTATCGTTCCGAGAAAGCCTGAAAATATTAAATGATTTCAAATTGCCCAGACACAAAAATTGAGACTGATATTTTTGTGGTCGCTCCAGAAAAGACATACGGAGTTGTGATGTATCTTCGGGCTATACTACCAGATGGAAGGCATATCGTCAAACTCCTTTTTCGAAACAAAAATAGAACCAATAAAGGTAATCACTATGCCACGGTTAGAGCTTTGTGCCGCTGAATTGGAAGCAAAACTTACTGCTAAAGTCAAGGCCGAATTGGGTTACGAAAATCGAAGGACTATTTATTGGTCAGATTCAGAAATTACATTGTATTGTATCAATTCCAACACTGAAGATGTTCGTTGCCAAGAAGATTAAAAATATACAAGGCAGATCGTTAAGCAATAATTGGCGACATGTAGGGACATAGGTTTATCCAGCAGATTTCTTATCCAGAGATGTGAAACCGGATCGGCTGTCAGGATGTATTATGTGGTTTTATGGACGCACATTTCTATACGGAAATGAATCCCTCTGGCAGGAATCATTCTCAAAGTATGGAGAAAATCGGACTGATCTTGAATTTAAGACAAAATCTACATGTCAGCAATTGCGTCAAAGAGTAGCTTACGGGATATCATCTATGGAATGCAAGCATGGAAACTCGACAGAAGTATTGACCCACATGGAGCTGTATCCAGGTATCGGATTTCGCGAAAGAAATACAGCAGTTGAGGAAATATGGAGCATTAGACAAATTAAGTTCCATATACAGTTTAACTCCGTTTCTTAATGACAGAGGCAGGTTGAACGAGGCAAGCTTAGTATACGACACAAAACACCCGATGTTGTTACCATACAACGACCCAAGTGTATAACTCAACCTGGACATGATTCATTTGGAAAATAAGCACTGTGGGTCAGATTTGCTACTCGCAACCTCAGGACTGAAATAATGGATCATCAAGGGGGAGGCTATGGCACGCAACATTGTGCAAAATTGCGTAAGGTGCCCCCGAGAAATCTCCCACCTAACAGTGTATGGGTCCACTACAAAATACGAGGAGGTGTGTGTCTTCTTCGCAACAAAGGCTGTGCATTTGGAAATAGCTACAGACCTGACAACGGACGCATTCATTGGAGCGTTGAAGAGATTTATCGTTCGTCGAAGGAGGAAATGTCGAAACTTGTATTCAGACAACGCGAAAACTTTGTAGGAGCCAAAAATTAGCTCGATGAATTGAATCAAACAGTATTTGAATTGAATAGCAGAAAGGAAATAGCCGAGACATGCTCAAGAGAAGGTATTGATTTCTAGATTTCCCTCAAGAGCTCTACATTTTGGTGGCTTAGCAAAGCAACTATTGCTTCGTACTACAAGTAGTGCGTACTTAACCTAAACAATTGTTATCGAAATAGAGGTAATTCTACATTCCAGACCGCTGACACCTATTTCTACGATCCAAATGATCTAGCAGCATTAACACCTGGTCATTTTCTTGCGGGAGAGCCTTTAACGGTACAGGTTGATCTATCAGCGAACTAATCGTCAACATCATTGACAAGCGGATGGAAAGTAGTATCGCAGATTAGGCATGAGTTCTGGAGACGTGGGTCTACGGAATACCAAAGTACTCTTCAATAAAGAAGGAAATGGAGCACACCATCAGCAAACGTTGAGCCTGGTAATTTGGTCATCCTCAATGAAGGTAACATGCCTGTAATGCAGTGGCCAGTAGGCAGAATAACTCGAATATACAATGGTAACGATGGAGTCGTTCGTGTCGTTGACAGATTAGCTCCGTTATGCGAAAATGAAAACGAATCTCTACCACTTACACATAGAAAGAGTATTAGTGAAGGGCCATCGTCAAAGGGATTGGAGACGTCAAGCAGCATACTAATATCGATAATGCTTGTGGCATTATTATTCCTACCGTTATGCTTGGGTCAGTTGTTCAACATACACAAGTTTGAGAATTGTTGTGCTTTTATGGTTTGAAATAAAAGCCAATGTTTGTTAATACTAAAGGTGTAAAGATTTATTGGATGATGAGCATTCACAGCTACTAATTTAAAAAGAATGAAGAAGTTACAATGTAGTGAGTCAGACTCGAGTGACAGAACAAGACTGAGCAAGCTGAAATGGCGGTAGCACGGCGTCCTATTATATGAGCGTTGCCGTATAGGATGTTGCAACATGAGATGCCATATTGTTAATGTGGGTTGCCCCAACATCTCCCTCCTTATGATGAGAAGGTGATCTTGAAATAGGTTCGACTGGTTGTCTGCGACTTGTTATTCTTTGAGGTGTCCAGTTTGGTGAACCTGTTGGAGTTGCAAAATGTTCTTGTTGGTTAGGCAAAGCGATTTCGAATTCTTCAAGTAGTACGTCCAATGGTAGTTTTTGTCGTTCTTGACTGCTTGACTCTACCGATTCTCTATGTCGAAGTTGATCAGTATGAGCTCGTACTAGAATTTTTCTGTCCCCAACGTCGATTAGAGTGTTGTAAATGACTTTCCCTTTACGCTCGACTATTTCGCCTGTTGTCCAGTAACTTGTTTCCTTTGAAGTTTCTTGCATAGACCAATTCTCCGTTGCTAAACTCTCTGTTTTTGGTACCGTGTTTGGTATTGTACTGCTGTTCCATTTTGTGATTGACGTTATACTCAGGCGATTGTTGCTTCCTTAGAACGTCGAAGACCGTTCTCATTTTTCTTCCGATGAAGTATTCTGCTGGAGACTTACCTTCTGGTGCATTGGGATTTGGTGTGGATCTGTAGACTTCTAGGAAGGTTTGGAGAGATTCCGTAGGCGTTTCTTCCTCTTCGAGTTTTTTTAATGCACGTTTAAGTGTATCAACGAAACGCTCGGCTTGTCCATTTGAACTTGGATGAAAACGAACAGTCCTTGTGTGTTTAACGCCTTTTTTGCTGCACCACTTCCCAAATTGTCCTGAACAGAACTGTGTTCCGTTGTCCGAGACCAATTGTTCAGGATTTCCGAAGAGTGCACAACATTCGTTTAACATTTTTAATGTTGCATATGTGGTTGTTGTTGTCTCGTAGATAACAGGGTATTTTGAATACGAGTCGATGATAAGAAGATAATATTTACCTTTTTCTGGACCAGCATAGTCTATATGTATCCTTTCAAGAGGGTGTGAAGTTAATGGCCATGGGCAAAGATTTGTTTTTACTGGACTTTTTGCCGCATGTTGACAATTTTTGCATTTCCGAACAAAGTCTTCAATTTGTTTGTCGATGTTTGGCCAATAAACATAACTTCTGGCGATGGCTTTGCTGCGTTCTGCTGATAAGTGTCCTCTGTGAAGTTGTTGTAAGATTTGTCTCTGATATGATTTAGGAATTACTATACGATTATTGAAAAGAATGCAACCATCGAACGTTGAAAGATTTTCCTTGCGGTTGAAAAATTGAATAATTGATGGGTTAACATTTTTCTTGCTTTCTGGCCATTCTGTTTGAATGTATTTGAGGACCATTTGTAAATCCGTGTCTTTTGTTGTTGCATCGACGATCATTTTAAATGATACTGGGAGAACTGACATAGTTTCATTTACCTCGTTACGTATGTCTTCTTCGAATGATATTGAAGCCACTATAAAGTCATCTGGGGGTTTCTCGTGATTGTTGACTCTTGTTTTGCACAGACCTGGGGTACTGTTATCAAAAACTGATTGATAATTCGTTTTCAATTCTGCTATTTCATCAACGAAGTTTATTTGATGACACCATGAGGTTATTGGTTTCTGCCATAGATTGAATGCTTGAATCCAATCGATTCCCATGATATTGAGTTTTTCTATATCTGTTATATAACATTTTAATGTTTTTGATGTTTTGTCGATTGTGACGTCACATTGAAATTCAGCTAGGAGCTTGATTGAGTTTGCGTTTGCGTCGCTAGCCTTGTCAAAAGTTTCGTAGGCTTTAGGCTTACCTATAGCTTTCCATGTGTTGATAGATACAATTGATATGTCTGACGCAGTATCAATTTGAAGTTTTACAGAATTGTTGTTAATTAGGACAGTTGTGTATTTCCTTAAGTCGCGGAAATTAATGTTGTGTGTTTTGAAAACTGCCTTCGTTTTGAATGATTTCCTTGAATTGCTGTATTTCTTGAATTCGTTCTGGTTGTTTTCAGATGATGATTTGAAATTCTTACCAGTCTTAGCGATGTTGCAAAAGTTATTTTTGTGACCCACTTGATTGCATGTTGTGCATTTATGTTTCTGGAAAGGACAAAATTTGACGTAGTGAAGGTCTCCGCAATACCAACAGGGTGAATTGGGTGTTTTGTGCTTCTTAAAGTCTTTTGCATGCTTGTTGAGTGGACAGACGATTTTTGATTGATGTTCAATGAGAATGTTGTCCGATTTGAGATCTAAAATTCGTTGTGTTTCGTCTACTAGTTGATCTAGGTTCATTGTAGTGTTTTCATCATCCAGTACCTTTAGTAAGCGAAGTCTTATGTCGTTGTCTTTTGCTGACTTGAGTCCTAAGACGAAAATGAGACATTTGAATTGGTCGATTTTCAGTTCTTTCATTTTGAATAGTTCGCATTGTAGGTTTACTCTGCTTGCGTACTCTCTGAAATCTTCGCTGTCGCCTTTTGCTAGCTGAAGATATTTGTATCTTTGTGAGACTTGTGTTTCTGTTTTACCAAAGAGTTTCTTGAGTTTCTCTACTGTATCCTTTAGAGTCATATCTTCAGGTTTTGCTGGTAATACGTAGTTGGCAAACCTTTCATGTACTTGTGCAATTATTGATCAATTTCCACTATCCTCGTCGCCACTTTTGTTGTGCTTTTATGGTTTGAAATAAAAGCCAATGTTTGTTAATACTAAAGGTGTAAAGATTTATTGGATGATGAGCGTTCACAGCTACTAATTTAAAAAGAATGAAGAAGTTACAATGTAGTGAGTCAGACTCGAGTGACAGACAGAACAAGACTGAGCAAGCTGAAATGGCGGTAGCACGGCGTCCTATTATATGAGCGTTGCCGTATAGGATGTTGCAACATGAGATGCCATATTGTTAATGTGGGTTGTCCCAACAAGAATAATATACTTTGATGGAATTGGAATCACAAAGGTAGTGACAGCGGATTGGAAATTGATCACTTATTATGATATTTCCCCATTTTGGACTGATATGAATGATTTTTCTACAGGGTTTAAAACACTTCAGGAACTGTGCAAGGTAGCTGTTTAGAATTGAAACTGTGAGATACTTTCAGAAAATCGCATTCAAGTACAGAAGCAGTTGGAATGTAGTACACTTAACCTATTTCCCAGGCGGAGCAGACGAGGAGTCCTAACATAGTAGGGAACCTCGCACACTTGTTACATGGTGTTTTGGACTCAGAATGTGTGGAAAATGGCTGTCACTATTGAGAAGGCAAATGAAGACAGGCAAATTCTGTTGCAACTGCTAAGGAATCAGACATCTATTATTGATTCAACAATCTGAAAGGATAAAGATATGAGTCTAAGAACCTTCGCAATCATGCAAGTAGAAATGAACTTGCTGGCAAATAAGGTGAAGAAGGAGAAACATATTGAAAGGCAACACAATCAATTATTTTCGTCACTACGCAGCTCATACTACTGTCATCAAGGTTGAAACATATAGAGACAAAATCATCGATGTTTTAACGGGTCCTCATCATGATCGTATAAGTCCATTGCCACTTACCCCACATCAATTGCTGATGGAGCCCCAAACCATCAAGGCTCATATTGCGCCATCTCGTGTTAATGAGAAGTAAGGGAAGGGTTATGAAAACCCTTATCATATTTGAGATTCACCTTTCATAAGTTGATCTTCAGCATTATGATTTATGCAACATGATTCCCGTCGTTGGAATAAACTATATTGACAGCAACATCCATCGGGACGAATTCATTTCGCTAACAGCAGAAGAAATGCACAGATCCATACGTGCCGCAAATACAAAGTGAACTTCCTATTGAATGAATCGTCAGAAGCTTGTGACTTGGAGTCAACCATCCTTCACCAAACTTGGTGACAAATGGCACAAAAGAATCAATGGGTGTTTACTGTAGCCAATTAAACAGAGTTGTCGTTTGTTTGTGGTACAAAAATGATACACATGAAGCACACGCTGCTGAGCTCGTTACATTACACCAGCAGCTAAAATCCATTGAAATCGGAAGCTTTCGACAACTAATAAAACTGGCAGCCATTCACCATCATACCATCAGCTATCTTACTCTTTGTGTTGGAATTAGTGTAGCCGTATACGTCACAGTCAAGTTTCGCCACTATACAACTTCCAAAAACATCAACCCAACATCTATACCATGGCAGTCAGTATCATCATACGTCATTGACCAGTTTCTTGAACGTTCCCCGTTTTACGTGGGGGAGAATGTTCAAACGAACGTATTGTTTGCATATACATTTTTTACTTTTTATACCCTCCACCGTACTATGGAGGGTATATTAACTTTGTCATTCCGTTTGTAACTCCTCGAAATACTCATATCTGTCTGTCTGTCTGTCCGTCTGTCTGTTGTAAGCACGCTATCTTTCGAATGATTTGAGATAGGTGGCTAAAATTTTGCACACATGTTTATTTTTACAGTAGGCAGGTTAAGTTCGTAAATGGGATATGTAGGTCCACGTTTTCATATAGCCCCCATATAACGGTACCTTTTTATATTCGGTATTTTGATGATTTTAGCGACATTATTTATCGAAATTGTCTGTGCAGGTCCACGTCTTCATATAGCCCCCATATAACGGTACCTCCCTGT